AATATTTCGATTCCGAATGAATCATCATCAGTAAACATCAAAAAGCACTGATGATGATTCATTCGGAATCGAAATATGGCCTTATTTATGGCAAACTTAACTCACAAAGTGTTTTAAATTGGTTCGTTTGATTATGAAGATGCAACAGAGAAAGAAAAATACAAAATTTGTTCTGAACATGTCCAAAATATTGACATCTATTGCAAAAATTGCCACGAGTATATTTGCTTGAAATGTTCTTTCAACAACCAAAAAGAACACAAAACTTTAGAAATTATTGAAAAAATTAAGCAAGAAAAATCCAAATTGGAATCAACTATTGTTGAATTAAAAAAATCTTTGAAAGATTTTGAAAAAGGCATAAGAAAATTTGTAATAATGCAGGATGAACAAAAGGACATGATTAAAGCTCAAATTTATTCAAAAAGTTATTATGTAAAGCAAGAAATTGATAAATACGTTGCAATGTTGATAAACGACCTAGAAAAATTTGACAAAGATTACAAATCAGAAAATCTAAAATTGTTTTATGAATCAGCTACCAAAACTAAAGAATTAATAGAAAATAACATTGATATGTTAGAAAACAGACTGAAACAGCTCAACGTACTTTATCACCTTTCCAAAAACTTTCAATTTAGATATACCCAAATGGAAACCTTTTCCTTCAAGATCCTACGGAATGACATTTGTGTCACCTGCAACCTCACTCAATTTCAATAACGTGTTTGAATAGTTGAATAAAGATGTACTGTACATAGGGAGCAGATGGTTGAACCCAACTCTTCAATAAGCATTTTTTTCTGAATCCGACGTATAGGCAACGCAATGAACAAGCCAACACAAAATATCACCCATCAATGAATGTCGTTATTAATGTTTTGCAATTAATCACCTTATTATTTGTTAACGTTTAAATAATTTTCTACAATTAATTTATTACTGAATGACGACACTTGTGTAATTTCAATATTAAGATTTATCAACCATCTTTTAAACCATCAAAACTTTTAATGTTTTGATTTAAACTATCTTAAACAACTTTATACATGTGAATGCTAATGATTGGATTTTTTAATACATTAAAACTTGCATGTTTAATGGGTTTTGTTTCAAAAATTTCTAAAAATGATTTTGAAAAATTCATTCATTTATATATATATATATATATATATATATATATATATATATATATATACAATATTCTATAAATTCTACCGAATGTTTGGCGTTAATATGTTTGTAGGATAATGTCGCGAATTTGTACTATATGTCACAATGTTACAATCGATCCAAGGATGTTATCATGTAAACATACATTCTGTCTCAGCTGTTTGATAGAACGTTCGCCAGAATTTAATGAGAGGATCACGTGCAGCACTTGCTCCACATGTTTTCTCAGACCTTCTGATCTTAGTTCCCTTCCAAGTAACGAGTTTTACTTAAAATTGGATACGATTGAAAATCAACTGCTGAAGAAATATTGCAATACCTGTGAAAAAAAACTTCGCCAATAAGTATTGTCAATTTTGTGATCACCATTTTTGCATGGAATGTCTTGAACTACACAACAAAGTTATGGCAAACTTAACTCACTCTTAATTCACTACTTTGTTTTTGCCAGATGTTAGATTTATTGTAAGCAGCAATGAGAAGCAACGCATTAAGCATAAAAGAATTAGTAATTACTAATTCTTTTATTCTATTCTAAACTAATTCTCAATGCTAGTAGTTAAAACTGTAAAAAAAACTGTTTTTGTCCTTCTCACTCTTCAATACTCTGTAGATTTTTGATTCATCTACAAGAAGTAGGATATTGTCACATACAGATGAAATGTCGTTAATAAAAATAAGATGAAGCAACGGGCTTAAAACCCCACCTTGAGGGACCCCATTCAAAACCGGTTTTGGCTCTGATGAGGCATCATCTAGTTTGACATGAAAAGTTCTGTTGCTGAGATATTTCTTGATCCATTTTACTATCTTTCCATTCACAATTTAGTAGTAATGTTGTCCAAAAAATGAAATAGTGTCTTGTATTTGTGTAGTGCTTTTGTTTAATGTGTTTTAGACTTCAGCTTAAACAAGAAAAGAAAAAACAGTTATGTAATGTTTAATCTGCTTACATTTGTTATTTAAGAATCATCAAATTACCTCAGTCATCCATCAGCTACGAAAATTGTGGCATAACATCACTTTGTTTTCAGTAAATATTTTTCAATTCACTATTTTCTTGTTTGTTTTCAAAGCTTTAATATTTGCAAACACAAAAGTAGGTAGCAAAACATACACTTGATATTATTAATGAATGAATGAGATGTTTCTTGATTGATTGAATGAATGAATGAATTACAAGAAGAATGACTGTCACAAGTTTGCTTTGAATCAGATAATTTCAAACAATTTGTTGTGGCGTTCTTGCACACAACTGTTGAACAAATTAAGCACACCAAATTGTTTGTTGTTTGCTAGTGTGGGGGTGACGATGTTGATGGTTTGATGATTATGTTGATTGGGAGCAGTGGCCGGGTCATGGTGAAGGTGTTGGGGGAGTTCAGTTTGTGTGAGTTGAATTTGTGATTATTTGGATTGAAAAATGTTGTAATTATGTTTTATTAATACGTTTGATATTTATTCAGCTATAACAGATCAACGGAATGCACATTACATCACCTCTCATTTATTGTAAGTTGTTTCATTTTGATTGGCACAGTTGAACTGCTTATAATTTTTGTAAAATGCTTGTAAAATACATTCTAGTTGAGAAAATAGTTTGCTTGTATTATGGTTTGTTATGTTCCTTCTACATTTATTATTTATTTTATTTGAATTATTTAGTGGTTATTATTCAATCTGTAATTCTATCTCAATTTTTTCTAATTAATTCTGAGTATATGATTTTATATAAATTTAATTATGTATTTTATATTAATTAAATTAAGTCTTAAATTATCATCTGCCAAGAAACATATTTTAAAATTAAAAGTTGAAAAAATTAATGAGAATGATGTTGAATGTTTATAAAGATAAATAACATTTCAAGCGAAGTTTGATGATTAAATAATTTTTGTAACACGTTAACCACCAGGCGTTATATAAACTTTTGACCAATCAGCACATGAAAGATTTCAAGATGAATATGTTTGAAAAGGTAAAGTGTGTATGTGTGTGTATATGTGTGTGTGTGTGGGTTTCAGTAGTATATAATCCATCCAAAGCTACATTATTACAATCCATTTTATCTTCTTTTTTGGATGGGAATCATCTCCTATCATCTCCTTTTGATACATGTTGAAAACATAGGCAGCTGAATTGAAATAGCTTCTGCTTCTTCAAAAAAAATTTCGAGACTTTCAGCTCTTTTTTTCATATTCAAAACAATTATTATAAGGTTAAAAGGTTAAAGGTCACTCTCTCTTTTGCGCTTGCTTTAGAGGTTTCAACGACAATCACACCCAGCGTATATGAATGCGCGTTATAACCACGCATCGTACACATTGCTTATGATAGGTGGGGATCTCTTTGTATTCGAACCCAGTCACTGCAGCAGCAAGACCACGCGCCTTTAACCATTGAGCCATCACGCCGCCCATGCGAATTTTCAAAGTTATTCCACACAAAGAGCAAAATTCCGTTTAAACGAATTTCATCAACCATTTTTTGCAACAATATATATATATGTCGAAATATATATATGTATGTATGTATATGTGTATTATTATTAGTATTAAAAATTTAGTTAGATAATTTTCAAAGGTGCCACCAGGCAATAGATAACATAAAATTGAACGTGGTTTTACTAATAAAAATAGCAAAACATTGCTTTAAATAACAAAAAAACAAAACAAAATAAGAGTACACTATAATAAAAATACAAAATTTTCAAACCCTTTTTGAATACAAATTTATGTATATACAATTCCTCGGTTAAAAACATTAGCCGTAAGAAAACTCTATCCTATCACTCCGACTTGTTTGCTTATATTGTGGTCACATTAATCTCATTTAATTGATTAATAATTAATTAATAATTAATTAATTATTTGATTGAATGATATGTTATTATTTAAAACCTCACCAGTTGTGCTACAAACTGTTGAACAACATGACACTGAAGAATTACCCATCCAACATTCCATACTCAGGAACGGTTGTTTCGCAGATGACTGTTCATCTCATCAGGTTGTCTGTGTGTGTCTGTAATTTGTGTACGTGTGTGTGTTTGTCATTGTGATGTTTAGTTGTGGTGTGTGCTGTGTATGGGTGGGTGTGTGCGTTCGTGCGTGCGTGCGTGCGTGTGTGGTTGTGGTATGATGTTATGGATGAATGTTATATGGTATGTGATGTAGCGACTGGTTTGTAATTTTGATTGTTGTGTCCATGTGTAGTGTGATTATATCTACATGAATGTCGTAATAATCTCTATGGTATGATCCATGGACATCTTGATGCTATTACATCGAGATGTCTATGGGTATGATCTTGGTTTTGTTTACGTAAGTACATGCATTTTACTACTACAACTGCTACTACTACTACTACTACTACTACTACTACTACTACTACTACTACTACTAAACTTTTATTTGCTCCATAAAATTAAAAATTAATAATAGGAAGCAGGTTGACCATGATAGAATTCTTATTTGAATTCGTCGAGTATGGTCACCTAAACTTTAAATACAAACTATGCCTCTTTTTTCAATACTATAAAGTTTAGTATAGTGATACATGAATAATTCACAGCATAGGTGTTAGTTGTTAGTATTAACAAGAACTTAATTATGTTATCAAAATATGTTAAATGTTAGCTAATTATGTTAATTGTTAGTAATTTGGTTTGTATCTGGTTTTATGAAATTATTCATAAAAATGTAAAATCATATAACTAAAATTATTCTAACTAAATCAACTGAAATTAATACTTAAATTTAAAATAAAATTTTTCAGTTTATTCCTAAATTTAACATCAGACTTTGAGTCAATTTTAAAATTGTTCTTTAATAGCAAATTCCAAATTCTTGGTCCCTTGCAATATACATGGAAGAAGAGAATGTTTGTTTTTGATGAATTTGATCTAATGTAATTTTGTCTCTTGTTGTTGCTGCAAGTGTAGTAATGATTTTATATTTTGATGGTAACTTGTTTGTCAGCTGTTTGTAGACAAAATTAGCAGTGAAGTAGACACTCACCTGATCAAAATTCAAATTTTTTGTTGACAAAAATAATGGCAACGTGTGCGATTGCTTTGTTGAGGATGTAACTAGCCTTAGAGCCCTCTTCATTATTAATCGGATCGGATCGGTGATCGTGCGATAGGTACCAGCCCAGACTACGTTGCAGTAAGAGATGTACGATACTCTCATGGCGTTATAGAGCATATTTAACGTTCTTCTTGGAGCGTAAAATCGAACTTTGTTGATAACGCCAAGTGCTTTCTCCATTTTTTATACGTGATTTCGAAAACTTAATTTTTGGTCAAGGCGGACGCCTAAAAATTTAACTGATTTGCTTTCGCTTATTTCTAGTCCATCAATTGTAATCTTATACGGTTTTTTATAGTTCAGATACTGAACCGGCCCAAAAATAATCATTTGAGATTTTTTGTTGTTCAACGTTAATTTGTTGTTTTGAAACCATTCTTCTATGGCAATATTGGTTTCATTTAAAAGTTCATGAATATTTTCACCTTTAATAAAAATATTAGTGTCATCGGCATAACAAACAAAATCAAAAAACTTCGACGCCTTGGGAAGATCGTTTATAAAGATCACAAACAGTAATGGACCCAATATGCTTCCCTGAGGAACTCTTAAGTTATTTGTTAGTATCGTCGAATTTTTGTTCTGCCATCTAACAAACTGTTTCCTATCGGTCAAGTAGTTACTAAGCCATCTTAGAGGTGTTCCACGAATTCCATAATAATTTAACTTTCCCATCAAAATGCTATGGTCAATGCAGTCAAAGGCTTTTGACAGATCGATGCAAGTTCCGACGACAAAGTTTTTATTTTCTGCAGCTACTCCTATTTTGTTTAAGTAATCAAACAACTCATCTGCCATGTGTATTAAATTTCTGATGTTGATATGCATGAGATTAAAAAATGATTTTTTATTGGAATTATTGTGATGTATTTGTTTAAATTGGTTATTAAATTGGTTTATATTTTCAAATTTTTGGCACCTGCCTGTTGTTATGTATTTTGCAGTGTTTTTTTGCTCACTGTATTTGTCCTAATCATGTTTAACATTATTACTTTCTTCGGGTTTTTTCTGGTTGAAGCGCCACTCACGAACGATGATGTGCTTCAAAATGACGTCAGGATCTTTCATCTTGCAGGCGTCACAACTTTCGACACACACTCTGAAAATTGTGGACTGCTCATCATCATTGTTGTTTTTGGTACCCTCAATCGAATTATTTGACTTTTTAAAAACAGAAAAATACAGATCGATGCAAGTTCCGACGACAAAGTTTTTATTTTCTGCAGCTACTCCTATTTTGTTTAAGTAATCAAACAACTCATCTGCCATGTGTATTAAATTTCTGATGTTGATATGCATGAGATTAAAAAATGATTTTTTATTGGAATTATTGTGATGTATTTGTTTAAATTGGTTATTAATTAAATTGGTTTATATTTTCAAATTTTTGGCACCTGCCTGTTGTTATGTATTTTGCAGTGTTTTTTTGCTCACTGTATTTGTCCTAATCATGTTTAACATTATTACTTTCTTCGGGTTTTTTCTGGTTGAAGCGCCACTCACGAACGATGATGTGCTTCAAAATGACGTCAGGATCTTTCATCTTGCAGGCGTCACAACTTTCGACACACACTCTGAAAATTGTGGACTGCTCATCATCATTGTTGTTTTTGGTACCCTCAATCGAATTATTTGACTTTTTAAAAACAGAAAAATACGAAATTACTTTGATTCCATTTGTTGACAAGTATTCAACAACATCATCACGGTGGCATTGCAGAATGTTGCTTATCATGAAAAATGACTTTTTTATCGGCTGTTTCTCAGCTTTCAATTTGCAATTATTGCTAACTTTGTTTCCAACAATTTTATTTGAAACTTTTTTTGCAACCTCTGAATAATTTATGATGTTTTGACGGTTGGCGTTGTTACTATTGGTTTCAATGCGATTGGTGCTGCTGTTGTCTGACCGTGAACGCTTGTTTTTGCGCAGTACGAGACTGAACGGTAAGTTCTCCACTGGTGTTGTTACTCTGTTTGACCACCGATTTTTATCCTGTAGCATGTTATCTTGCTGGGTGTTGTTTGTCGCTGGTATTTCGTTGTTGACGTTTTTACGACTTTCGCTAACAAGAGAGTTAATTTTATTTCATGTCAATCGTACTCTTCATTTAACCTCGGTGGATCCGCTGTAGCCATTATGATACGTTTTTATCATCATCAGAGATCTTCGATTTAAATTTCCAATCACGAACGATTATGTTTTTTAACAAAATTTGGATCCTTCAATTTTTTTCCATCATCGGTTTCAACACAAACTCTGAAGACGGTTGATTCTAAGTCATCTTTGTTTCCTCCATCTTTCAACAAGATTTTTGATTGTTTGATCACAGGATAGCAGGATAAAACTTTTACGCCATTGTCTTTAGAAAATCAGTCACAACACTTCGATGGCATTTTTGAATGTTGCTTAGAGAAAAAATGCTTTTTTAATTAAAGTTTTATCTGCTTTTAATGAGCTGTGTTCTACCACTCTTTTCCCGATAACTTTTTTGAGAGCGTTTAACTTCGGTTTATTTTTTCTAACCCCGCGGCTAAATGGTAAATTTTCATCTTTGACAGGTGTAGGTATTTGTTCCGACCATAAATTATTATCATCAGTGTTAGTTTCTAAATTATCAGTAAAAACGGATTTTTTTGTCATTATTTGACAACTTTTTATCAACTGATTTAACTTTCATATTATTATTAGTTTGCAGAAAATCTTCAACAAATTCGTTATTTTTACCTGCAAATATTTTTTTTATTATCCATACACATTGTTTTTATTTTATCAGTAGGAAAGGTTGAATTACACGTAACTTGCGAATGTACGTTACTCATGGATGCATTTAAAACCTTGACCTGAGCTAACAGCTGCTCATTAATATTAATTAATGAATTAAAATTAGCTGCCATTTTTTCGTTATTTAATTTAATTAAATCAAAAAATTCTTTCGTCGAGTCCCGAGGTATCCTATATGGACTCAATTCTTTTGATTGTAAAATCGGTGATTGTAGGCATATATATATATATATATATATATATATATTTATTTATTTTTATTTATTTATTTAGACAAATTTATTTAGAAAAAACTGGGAGACACAGAAGCTTAAAAAACAAGCTTGTATGGCCACCCTAACCAAAAATATAGTGTCCACTTAAAATATATTCAATAAGAAAAACAAACAAATACATTCTTACAATACACAGACACTACATCCATGAAGTCACATCATATATATAGCTTACAATGCAAAATAATCCAACAAATATAAGCACAAACTTAAGTTTATGAAATAATGTCAATGAATATCAGTAGGAAAATAATCATGATGAATACAATTAAAAATTTGCTTTTTAAACTGAGTGATGCTATTTATGTACTGAAAATCAGAAGGTAACAGAAACCATAATTTTAAACCAAAAATAAATATAGTTGAAGAAAATAAGGCAGTTCTTGACTTGACAATATGATATGGTAATGTTTGACGAGTAATTCTGAGAGAATACGAAGACGGATTGATCAAAAAAGAATGAAATTGCAAATGTTTTTTTAAAACAATTAATTTAAATAAAAATAATAGTACTCGAAATAAATAAAGTTTAGAGACTGTTAAGATCCTAGATTTGGAAAAACAATGTGAAATATGGTCCAATTTTCTTAAATCGTAATAAATCCTAAAAAAATAAAACAAACATTTATCAAGTAATACAATATGAGATTTAACATGACGACCCCACACAATGATGCAATATATTAAATGTGGATAAACAAAAGTATAAAATAGCTTAAGCATTAAAAATTTTGGTAAAATATAATTTAACTTATAAAGAATACCCAAAATCTTTGAAATTTTTGTTGAAACATTAATGATGTGATCTTTCCAACACAAATTGCTTGTCACAGTGACCCCAAGAAATTTTATTTTGTCTAATCTTGTTATTTGATTATTGTTATAATATAGGGAAAAGTTTAAAAGATTTGTAACAATTTTTGGACCAAAAAATAAAGCATATGTTTTTGAGATATTAATTTGCAGACCATTATTGAACATCCATGAGCTAACTCGAGACAACTCTTGATTAAGAGTTTCTTCGACTACCCGCAATGGCTAAAATGGATCAGAGGCTAAAATGGTGGTATCATCTGCATACATTATATATTTAACTGGCAATGGTGAATTAACAAGATCATTTATGAATAAATTGAAAAATAAAGGACCAAGTATCGAACCCTGGGGAACACCAGAGCTGATAGGCATCAAGGTAGAATTAATTGAGTTAATAGTAACATATTGATAACGACTTTCGAGGTAACTTTTACACCACCCCAGCATTGTTCCCCTTATACCATAATGTGATAGCTTAATTATTAACAATTTATGATTGACAGTGTCAAAAGCTTTACTGATGTCAATAAAATTTGCATTTTTTTTAGAATCAATATTTTTTAAAATATATAACGTTAATTCAAGGATAGCAAGCTCAGTCGAGTAATCCTTTCTAAAGCCATACTGGCAATCTGGCAAAATATTGTGGTTATTTAAAAAGGAGGTCAGAATTATCAAATTAATCAGTTTTGAAAATGATGAAACCAAGGATATTGGACGATAATTATTAATTAAATCTTTAGGGCCTTTCTTATGTATAGGGATAACCTTGGTTATTTTTAAACACTTTGGAAACGTTCCTGATTTTAATGATAAATTAATGCAATATGTTAAAGGTTTAATTATTGTAGAAATAACGTTTTTTATGACGAAATTAGATATTCCATCATGACCAGTAGAATTAGAATTCTTAGCCCATGAACAATATTTAGAACTTCAAATTCATTAGTTTCACATAATGAAACTGAGGATGAAACAGGATTGTTCAAATATTGGGTAACATTCCTATCATTAACATCAACATTGATGCCATCAACCAAATTAGTGAAATATTTGTTAAAAGAATTTGCAATCACCTCATTGTCATAAGTTATATCACCATTTAAATTAATGGAACCAATGAGTTTAGAAGTTTTGTTTGCATTAAGCAAACCATTTATTATAAACCAAGTATTTTTTAAATTATTTTTATTTTTTTCAAACTTCATTTTAAAGTAGAAAGATTTTGCTTGTCTAACAGTTTTTGTGAAGTGATTTTTGAGAGATAAATATGTGGTTTTATTAACAAAAGATGGGTCTTTCAAATATTTTTTATATAATAAATTTTTCTTATTTGCTACCTTGAGTAAATCTGCATTTATCCAAGGTTTTTTATATTTATTTTTCTTAACTGATTTGGGCTTGCAAACATCAATAATGGCGGTATGAATAAATTTAAGAAAGGCATCAAAAACAAATTCAACATCATAAAATTCCAAAATAAACGACCAATCTGCAGAATTTAATTTTGTATTAAGCTCAGTTAAGTTCTTTTTTGAATAACACAACCTAGGATTTTGAACAATATTATCGGTGTCAACACTCTCATTAATCAACGAAAAAATTGGCAAATGATCAGACAAATCACTTTAAATGACACCCGCGGAGTGGGGGGGATGGATTATTTGTAAAAATATTATCCAAAAAGGAAAAACCGTGATTAGAAATTCTTGTGGCTTTTGTAATAAGTGGAAAAAAATTTAAAGAATAAAAAGAATTAATGAAATATGTTGAGGATGATTTTAAAACATTAATTTCATGATAAACTAGGTCATCTCTAATAAATAATCCAACTTCACCACCACGCCTGTTATGTCTATTGTTATAAATAAAATTATACTTTGGAATAACAGTAAGCGGACCCGTAGTATCCGTTAACCAAGTTTCTGTTACAGCAATAACATTAAAATTAATAGTACATTGATTAAGAAAAATTTCAAATTCACTAATTTTGTGAAACAAACTTCTAGCATTGACATGTAATAAACTGGTAACACCAGAATTGAATAATGAATTTAAGTTGGTAGTATTATAAAATTTACATGAATTACATAAATGATCAAAATAATTCAAGTCAGGATCAAAATTACTATCCATTTTGAGCTATTGTGTTGACCGGGTTGGTAGAGGATTGACGATGTGAAGAAAACGACCACTCACGGACTCTCACATGCTCTGGCCAGGAATCCATGTCCTCAATCACATTGGCTAATTTTACATCTACGCACAACCTGAAGGATGTTGACTTGTCCGAAGACGTTGGTTTAGTCTCGTCTGTGGAGAGATTTTCCTCATTACCATCTTTTTTGAGTACTGGTGTTTTAGTTTCTTTGTCTGACTTCTTAAAAACAGGAAAACATGAAACAGTTTCCACATCAAGTGACTTCAAGTATTCCACAATATTGTCCTTAGTGCATCTTGCCACATTCCCAATATGATAGAATTTTTTCTTTGTAACGGCTTTTTTTGCAGCTATAACCAAGTTTAGGGGAGGTTTCCGACCTACTATACCCTTGACAGATGATTTAGTTTCAATATTAACTTGATTAAGTGTTGGAGTTGCTGGGCGATGACGTTTTTTCATAGGCTCCACAGGCCAAAAGATATCAGCAACATTACCAGCCGACGGCGTCAAAGGAGCATCACCCCAACGAGAATTTTTCAGAATGTTTATTTCTGTTTTACTTGGCTCTACTTTCTGAAGGTTTAGCACCGCTAGCAACACTACTAGCCTTAGTAGTCAGTATGTGTTTGCAGATGTTGCAGGTCACAGTGCCTTTATTTTGGCTGTCAGATTGTGTTGCCAAGTGAGTAATTACTTGAACGTGTTTATCAACTTTTTCATTCAATTTATTAAAGCTCTCAGTAATAGTTTCACTATTGATTTTTTATGTGACTAACTGAGCAATCATTTCTCCATTTTTGTCCATTTTTTCATTTAATTTAACTAAGTTCTCAGTAATAATTTTGCCATTATCCATTGCAAGTCGAAGAGGAATGCGATTTATATTCAACACTGTAAAAATAGGTAACTGAATCAATAAATTATTTTCATAGCAGGAATCTACCAAATCTATTAGTTCACAAAATTTTTCATATTTATCTTTACCTCCAGTAGTTATCTTCAGTTTAGCAACTTTGTCTGACTTTAAAATTTCAATTTCAGAAAATAACTTTTTACCGCTAGATATTTCGTCATTAGTATAAAATTCCGCTGTTTCATGTTTAAAACTTTCCTCATTAATTGTTTCCACATTTTAATTAAGAAACCATAATATTTCAGAAATGCATACCCGTCTAGCTGTTGCCATAAATTGCAATAAAATGGTCAAATATTCTTTCCAACTGATATTTCACTGCCGAAAGTAGCACAATTGGAAACAAAAACAACCTCAATGCAAAAATTACAAAATTTGGCTTTAAAACAAGAATTTGAAGAAAATTTTGAACGAAAGAAAAAAACAGCCGTACGAACAGGAAGCTAGCCACCTATATATATATATATATATATATATATATCTGTGTGTGTGTGTGTGTGTGTGTGTGTTTGTCATTGTGATGTTTAGTTGTGATGTGTGTATGAGTGTGTGGTTGCGCATATATATATATATATATATATATATATATATATATATATATATATATATATATATATATATATATTACAATATTCTATAAATTCTACCGTATGTTTGGCGTTAATATGTTTGTAGTTCGTTTTTTCAATTTTTTTCACTAAAGTTTTTTGGTGAACGTTTAGTTTATTAAAATTCAAAATAAACTTATTTTCCGAATTCATGCTGCAATTGGACGCCAAGTGGGGAACCCATAGCGACACTATCGATTTGCTTGTAAAGTTTGCCTGTGGGGCTGTGGAATGGTGCTTCGGTAGTGCAAATTTGAAGAAGGGACTTCAGTTGTGCTTTTGGTATGCTCAATGGAACCATATCTGAGTGGTAAACGGTGTTGATAATTATGTCAATTGTATCATGAATTGGTACATTTGTGAATAATGATTCAACATCCATAAATGCATATATACAATCATCAAAACTAAAACTTCATAAAAAACTGACCAACTTGATAATCAAAGGAAATAACAATATTATGAAAGATAGATTCATCAATCTTAGTTACCACATACTTACAGACAAGCAAAAAGCGTTTTTAAACTTGGGTTTAAACTGCCACTATCTAAAAAAACCCAACAAAATTGAGATTGAAAAGCTAATGATGTCTATAAACGACGCTGAACGTCAAAGAAAAATAAGCGTCAACCCCTCTGTTGCCATTGAGCTTCAAGCTGAAGCTAAGAAACAACGCGGTAGTTTTCAAAGCAAGCTACTCACTGACGAGATGAAAGATGCGGCGAAACAATTAAGAGAAAATAAAGATATCGTAATACGACGCGCAGATAAATCTGCACAATATGTCATTATTGGCCGAGCCGATTATCATGAAAAACTCAATGATGTTCTCAAAGATACAAAAAAGTTCCAAGTAATCAAAAAAGATCCCACTCCTCAACTGAAAACTAAACTAAACACAATAATTAAGAAAATAAAAAAGCATATCACTGACGACAAACTTCCATCACTTATAGGCGAATACTCTCCTGGCTACTTATATGGGAATATAAAAAACGCATAAGAATAATCATCCCATCCGACCAATTATTAGCCAAATTACAACCGTCACATACCCTGTTGCAAAATTCTTGAACAAAATTCTAACCCCATATATTCCAAACAACTACACACTACAATCTTCCCGTGAGTTTATTAATCTTCTCAGCATTATTAAACCATCCAAATTTATTGCCTCTCTGGATGTTGAATAATTATTCACAAATGTACCAATTCATGATACAATTGACATAATTATCAACACCGTTTACCACTCAGATATGGTTCCATTGAGCATACCGAAAGCACAACTGAAGTCCCTTCTTCAAATTTGCGCTGCCGAAGCACCATTCCACAGCCCCACAGGCAAACTTTACAAGCAAATCGATGGTGTCGCTATGGGTTCCCCACTTGGCGTCCTATTTGCAGCATGAATTCGGAAAATAAGTTTATTTTGAATTTTAATAAACTAAACGTTCACCAAAAAACTTTAGTGAGAAAAATTGTAAAAACGAACTACAAACATATTAACGCCAAACATTCGGTAAAATTTATAGAATATTGTAAAAATTATGGTCTATTACCAACATATATATTTATATTGTTTGGACAGTCGTTTGGACGGTTGATATTGTCGTTTCGTCAGTTAATTTTGGTGTTTTCGTCGTTAAAAGTAATCGTTTATTGATATTTTTTGGATAAATTAATATAATTAGATTTTTGAATAATTTATATCAAATTTAGTTTGTAAAATTTCACTATTTTAGTGAAATTTGATAAAATATTGTCTTTAAATTGCTGTCACGTGATAGGAATTTCCCTGCTAGTAAGCTTAATTAATTATAATAATAAATTCAATAATGTCGTCCGGTAGTCGCTACTGTTGTACGAAGTGTACAATAAAAGTTCCAAGTAAAGATTTGTTGTCATGCACTTGTTGCAAGACTTTTGTTCACAATAAATGTGAAACTAACGATGATATTCTTGAAATTTTGAGAAGTGTTAAAGGTTTAAAATGGTTTTGTCAACGTTGTGTTGATTTGTCTCAAGATGTTAGTTCTTTGGCTAAGTCAATGGATGCGTCTAAAAATGAATTTGTTGCTCAGCTAAATGAAATAAATGATAGTAACAGAAAAATAAAACTTGACGTTGATAGCATATAAATGGTTGTTGACCATAACGTGATGTTAATGCTCCATGGTACGATGGTGAATGTAAATCTTTCAAAAGACTTTGTCGAAAGAAAGAAAGGAATTACAGAAAATATCAGACAGAGAAATGTAAAAATGAGTGGATAGCAGCTCTGAAAAATAAATCTAGGCTTTTTTCACAAAAAAAACAGTTATTGAAAAAGACCTGATGCAGACAATAGTGGATCTCCTAAAAATCTATGGAATGTTATTAATAAAGTCCTTTGTAATCAGGTCACTGGTCAGTCATTGAGTGAAATTGTTGGTTTAAATTCGTCTCAATTCTTAAAGTTTTTTAATGATAAAGTAAATAAAATTAAACAGTCTACCAATGTATCTAATTGTCCGACTATTTGTCAAGCTCAGTACAATGGGAATTGTTCTTTTCCTGACTTTATGCTTTTAAGAGAATCTGACGTTAGAAAAATTGTGCTCAGTTTGCCATCAAAAACATGTATGATAGATGTCTTTCCGACCCATATTTTAAAGAAATATATTGATTTATTCATCGTTTTTCTTACCAGTATCTTAAATCTGAGTTTGAGCAGTGGCACATTTCCTAATGGTTGTAAGCATGCTATGGTTTATCCAGTTTTAAAGAAAGTGAATATGGATCGAAATGCTTTGTCTAGTTATAGACCAATTTCCAACATCTGTTTCATTTCCAAGATATTTGAACGAGTGGTTGCCAAACAGCTCTTGAATCATTTAAATGTAAACAACCTGCTACCAGTTCACCAATCTACCAGTTCGCCGCTATCATTCAACAGAAACTGCACTGCTTTATGTGTTTTCTGAGTTGTTTGCTGCTTTGGACAAACAACATGTGGCTCTAGTCACGTTTTTAGATATGAGTGCGGCATTTGATTGTGTAGACCATCAGATTCTCTTGGAAAAATTGGCTCATGATTATGGTATTTCCGGTACTGTTATCAAATGGTTCAGATCATATCTGTTTGACAGAAAGCAACAGGTAGTTTTCAATAATGTGTTATCTAATGAAACGGTTTTGACATCAGGAGTGCCACAAGGTTCAGTGCTTGGGCTTATTCTTTTTATCATGTATACCGCTGAAGTTTTTAAAGTAATTGGTAATTTCGGTTTTAAATATCATGCCTATGCTGATGATATTCAGATTATAGTTAGTAATAAGCCAGAATTACTGTAATCTGAAATCAAAAAACTTCTAACCTGCCTAAATAACATTGAAAATTGGATGTCAAACAATGGTCTTAGATTAAATCAGCAGAAGTCAAAATTTGTTCCAATAGGTACATGGCAGCAACTGGTGAAACTTAATATCGATTCAGTGAAAATAGGAGATGTTAAAATAGAATTTAGTGACAAAGCAACTAATCTGGGTTTCATTCTTGATTCTAGATTATCGATGCATAATCATATAAAGATGATAACAAATTCATGCTCCGGACAGATTCGAAAACTCTATAAACTCCGTAGGTCATTAGATAAATCTGATATTCATACGTTGGTGCATGCATTGGTTCATTCACGATTGGACTATTGCAATGATCTGTTTTACGGTTTGCCAGATAGGTGTGCAATTCAATCTATTCAGAATAGAGCAGCCAAATTGATTGTTGGAGGTCTCAAATTTAACCATGCTACGCCAATTCTTAAGGGCCTTCATTGACTTACTATAAAATATGTATTTTAATGTATAAAACTGTGCATGGCTTGTTACCAAGTTATTTGATAGATAAAATAAAAGAAAAGTCTATAATGATGAGTGGTATGAACCTTAGATCAAATGATGGCATTTTGCTGGTTGTACCCGATGTCAATCTGCAGATAGCATCAAGAGATTTTGCAGTATCTGGACCAATGGTTTGGAACAGCTTACCGAGATCTTTTAGAACTAAAGATTTGAAACTTGATGATTTTAAAAAGAAACTTAAAACTTACTTATTTTCGCTTTGATTTTGTTGTTAAGTGAATAATTATTTGTTTGTTACTACCGCCATTGACTGTACTTTTTTTTCTTTTTTGACTTTGTTTGATTATAGATAGCGCTTTTGAGAACTTTTTGATTTTAATTAGCGCTTATAAATGTTTCATTAATAATATATATATATATAATATGTATATATATATATA